CCTCCGCAAGGCCTGCCGCGCCGACGTCGCCCAGATCTGCAAGTCCGAGGACGACCTAACCTCGGAGAACGGCGTCGTCTACAAGTGCCTCGTCAGCAACCACGACGACCTCGACCCCGGCTGCAGGCGGGAGCTGGGGCGCGCGCTGCACATGGCGTTTGTGATATGGCACCCCGGGGGCGTCGTCACCAGCGCGTGCGACGTGGATATTGCTGAGGTCTGCCTGAAGGAGCGCCCCAACATGCTGCACCAGCCGGGACAGATCGCGGACTGCCTGGCGGACGCGGTGAGCGGGGGGGGGGGGCGGCGGTCTGCGCGGCCGGGCTGTTCCTCGTGGCGCGGGAATGGCGGGCCCGTCGGCCCACCCCAGAGGGGAATCTTCACGGCGGCTGGCCGGCGGCTTGCTGGCGTCGCTGATGCCTGCGGTCTCAGCCGCATGGCGAGCTGTGCGCCTGCGACCCACGGAGTTGCGGCTCCCTTGCAGCTCGCCCCCTGCATCTGCATCCTCCCAGCAGCCCCGCGTGCTCATCACCCAACTCGCACCTCTACACCCCGCCCACAGCTTGAGCGCATCGCCGCCGCCGAGGCCGCCGCCAAGGACGGCCGCGCCCCGCCCGCGAACCCCGCGCCCCGCCTCTCGGACGAGTGCCGCGCGCTCGCTGACGTGGCGGCGCCGCCCGACATGCGGCGCGCCTTTGAGGAGTCCCTGTCAGCAGCCCTCCTGACCAGCCGCCTCGGACTGTCCGCGATAGAGTCCAAGACCGGCGTCAGCCTCGTCGCGCGCGACGCGCAGACCGGGGAGCCGCGGGGCGTCACGCTCACCGGGTGGACTGCGCTGTTTGGGGTCGCGGCGGCGGTGGTGACGCTGCTGGGGGCCGGGTTCTACGGGTGGCGGCATTACCACGGCATTGGGGACGCCTCGACTGTTGTGCTCAAGTCGCGGCAGGGGTACAGACGGGTGTCGACGTCTTAATCCCCAAACCCTGACCCTGGTCGCGGGCGTGACGGGGTGGTGGTGCCTCCGCTTCGGTCGATCCTGCTATGCCTCGCCATCGTCGTCGATTTCGTTGCATCAATCGTTTGCGTTTGTCGGTGTCGGTCGATCGCAGCACTTCACAGCGCGCGCTGGGTGCGCGACGCAGCTCTTCACCGTGCTGTTTTTTCTCCTTTTTTTCCGGTGCTTCGTGTGCTCAAGAAAATTATGAACCCAGCGCCCATACATTTGGGGCTTCTCATCGACTGCTCTCACGCGACAAAGGTTGGGTTTGCAGAGGCCAGCAGCGCTGCCAGCGAGCTTCACCTCCGCCTGGCGGGCTTCCACCAGCGTCGGCTGTACATCGCAACACGCAAACTGGTCTGGGGGCGCCCAGATGCAGTGCTGCAGCAAACCTTTGGAAGCTGGCTCGAAGCACAACAACACAGATAGGATACCACACATGAGTGTTAAAGCATGCAGCAGTAGCCGATTTCTGGAGCCGCCCCGTCTCATGAAGTTGGGCTTGAAAGCATTGGTGTTTGTGTGGGTCTGCAAAGCCAACCACCCTCCTCACGCGCCGCTGTAGCTCAGCTGTTGGTTAAATATGACATGCACCCAATTGGTGCCACAAATGCAGATCCTCAGAGACGACGACAGGGCAGGCGTTTCAACGTTGAGGCACAAATGCAGCGACTCAGCGCATACTGAGAAGGTGCACCACCGCGGCCGCGCCGCGTCACCGCCGCCGCTGCAGCTTCCCCCCTGGCGACTTCCCCCCCTGCTGCGCGGCCGCCGCCCGCTTCTTGCCCGTCTTGAACTGCGCAGCCAGCGCCTCGCGCCGCGCCGCCCACTCCGCCCGCACCTCCGCATCGCTGCCCTGCCGCATGAAGGAGGCGGCCAGCTGCAAGGCAGGCGGCGCGGCGCCGACGCCAGCGGCCGCCCTGGGCGTGGACACCCGCCGCTTAGCCACAGCTGTCGCTGTGGGCGTTGCCCCCTGCTGGGCGGCCGGCCCCTGGCGCGAGGCCGCCTTGCGCCGATCTCGAGCCGGCTGCGCCGCCTGCGAGGGCTGCGCCGCGGCCGGCGCAGGCTTGGCCCGCTCCTTGCCGCCGCCGCCGCCGCCGCCGCTGCGACCGCTGCCGCCGGGCGACGGGCCCTCCGCGCCGCCACCGCCGCCGCCTCTGACAGCCTCCCTGCCGTTGGGGGTCGCCGCGGTCACGCGCCCTTTCGAGGCGTCACTGTCAGAGCCGCTGCTTCCCTCAGAGCCGGCACCCACCGCCTCCTCCTCATCCCTCGCCTGCTGCTGCTTGGGAAGGGCTTCCCCCGTCTGCTGCCCCGACACCTCCCGCCCCAGAGAGCCCGGCTGCTGCTGCTGCTGCCGCTGCCGTTGCTGCTGCTGCGCCGGCTGCTTCTGCTGCTGCAGGCCCGGGCGCGCGCCGCGCGCTGCGCCCGCGCCGCCCGCGGCGCGGCGCGGCGTCGGCACCAGCGGGCACAGCAAGACGTCCCCTGCGCGCCGCCCCGCAGCACCAGGGCCCTTGCCCGGCAGCTGGGCGGCAGCTGCCGCCGTATTTTCCTCGGAGTCCACATCCCTCAAAACCTCCTCGCTGTCGCTGCCAAACCGCGCCAGAGGGTCGTCGCCGTGCGCTGCTAGCGCCGCGTTTTCAGCCCCAGCTGTGGCAGGCGCGGGCGCCGGCGCCGCCGCACGGGGAGCAGGCGTTGCCATGCTGGCCAGTTGTGGCGGCCGCTGCCGCTGGGTCTGCTGGGGTGGCGGCGAGAGCTGCACCTGCTGCCGCTGCGGCCGGGCTTGCTGCTGCTGCTGCTGCTGCTGCTGCTGCTGCTGCTGCTCCTGCTGCTCCTGCTGCTGCTGCTGCTGCCACTGCTGCTGCTGTTTCAACTTCTGCTGCTGCTCCTGCCCCCGGTCCTCGTCATCCCCTTCCTCCTCGCCAGTCGCCGCCACCGCTGCGGCGTCGTCGCTGCCATCCCCTGCGGCAGCATCGGCCTCGGCCGAATCAACATCACCTGCGCTTTCACTGTCCAATCCGCCGTCCTCCTCCTCCTCCTCCTCATCCTCATCCTCCTCCTCATCCTCCTCATCCTCCTCCCCCTCCTCCTCCTCCTCCTGCTCCTCTTCAGAATCCTCACTGCCGCCGCGGCCGCCCCGCTCGCCCCCCCGCGCCCGCTGCCCCCGCGTCCCCGGCGCCGTCAGCCCCAGCAAGCCCGCGAGCGCGCCGTCGTCGCCCTCGTCGTCGCTGCCGCGCAGGAAGTAGTCATCCAGGGC